ATCCCTGAGAATGGCTTCCATTTCTTAGAATGTTCCTCACCTGCTATAATCATTTATGAATGATTTGTTAAGAATACAGTTGTAAATCTCTGACTTATTTCCTGCGAATGTACGTCAGTCTTGCTACTGTGATCTCCATGCAACCCACTAAACTCAAGATAACAAAGAGTATAGACCTGTGTACCAAGTTGTGGTTTGTGTCATTAGCAAGAAAACCCATACAGACTTATTTCCTGTGTCTTAATGAAGTTGAGAAGGGGAGGAAGGGAAGGTGGATGTCAGAGATGGGGGGGGAGACACGGGGAGCCCCACGTCCTCTGGGCTGGGCGAGGCTCTGCTCTTTCCTCCAGCTGACTGTCGGCCTTCCCACAAAGCTCAGTTTCATGTAAGACTTCAGCCAAAATAAAACAAGGTCCCGTCTTCAAGGTGGGCAATGTAAGCAAGACAAAACAAAACAATGGAGAAAGAGCTCGTGTCACCTCTCAGAGTAGATTTATTTCAGCATGAGCTCCTGCAGATGCCGGTCCTCTTCCTCTGAGGCATCACTTAGCAAAGAACAGTCCTTAGAGTCTTGATGGCAGGCCTCTCAACTCAGGGCTATGAGTTAACCAAGTCAAGCAGCCACCCAGGAATGGGTCTGTGGTTATTGGTTGGTTGGTTGGTTGGCTGCTTGGTTGGTTTTGATTTTTTTTACCACCCATCTAGCTGCCAAGGCCATTCTGGGTGGTTTAGACAATTAAACCTCATATCACTAAACAACAGTAAAAACAAAAATAAATTGAATAAATCTAAATTAAGTACAAACATACTAACGGTATTGAACTAATAATAACTAAAATAATTCTTAAAAAAACACAAGGTGGTAGTTTTGATAATATAAGTGTTAAGAGCACCACTGTATTAGGATGTTAAGGTCCAGAGAAGTCTGTCTTAAAAAGACAAGTTTTTAACAGTCACTTAGACGTTCCCAATGAAGACGCCAGGAGGATTTCAGGTAAATAAAACAAGGTTCCAAATTCAAGCTGGGCTACATATATTAAGCCAGGACGGATGGAATCCACGTGTAAGCACACGGCTCTCCTAAGAGAATTTTGCGGCTGGAACAGAGAGGTTTCAGGGTCCAGTGTACTCCCATAATAGCTGCAATGAGTCCTTTTCACAGCCAGGCCGTCCCACTAGCACCCTTTTTGCAAGTCTGTTCCCAATTAGCAATTAACTGAGAACATCAAAGATAAAAACCATGAGTCTTAGAGTCTGCCAAGACTAGCAAAACTCAGATAATTAACGGACTCAAGTAGCATAATTGTGGCCTAAAAAGGAAAAATAATTATGCAGGTTATCTGCTCAAGAGACCCAACATAAGGTTTTAAGAATTATTGTTTTATTAGAAAAATAAAGAATTTAGAGATATTCAGTTTGTTGCAAAGCATAGCATTCAAGCACATTTCCATAAACTAAGGCAGTTAGAACTTTAGCAAATTCCAGTTATAAAAATAAAATAAGAAAACTCAAATTCATAGCTAGAAAGGTGGGTAAGGCTGAGCCCCCCTTTCTCTATTCCCTGCTATGAACTACATCCTAGGAGTTTACTAAAAAATAGCAATGGGAACTCCAAAGTCCATTCAAAAATCCAAAATCCAAAGTAAAATCCAAAAAGTCCAAAAAAGTTCTCTCTCTGTCACCATCCTGCCATTTTTCTTCCCATGCTGGAACCACCTCCTTCTTCACTCTCCACTGAAGTAAGCCCATCAGGACGAAGGACTGTCTCACCACTCCCCGCCTCCTTTTCTCACGGGATGTGCAGGTGTTGTTGACATTCTTCCGTGATGTTATGTCTTTGGTCCTTATCATCTCTGGCCAAGGTTGCTACATGGAAAATTCCAACTAGCTCTAAGAAAAAATAGCTTCTCGAAGCATCTAGTTAAGCTAACACAGACCAAGATGGATTCCTTCTACACACTTCCATGATTACAAATCCCATCTAGAAATTACATTCTAGCTTCAATAACCTAAAACATGACAGATTCAGAAAATATAACCAAAGCCAAACAAATCAAGAAGAAAGAGCTCATGTCACCTCTCAGAGTTGAAGATTTATTTCAGCATGAGCTTCCAGAGATAATGATCCTCATCCTCCAAGGCATCCCTTAGCAAAGAACATCATCCCTTTCTGGACTCTTCAAATCTCTCCACTCAGGGCTATTCTTTCAGCTAACCAACCCACAGTTGGAAGCCTACCTAAGAAGAGAGGGTGGTGTGTCTCCGGTGCCAGGGGTGGGTGGCGCTGTGATCTCTTAGGCATTTGTTAAGATTGGCCATGGGCGTGGAGGAGGCCAGCATCTGCTCTGCCTCAGAGGTTTGTTCACAGAGGGGCCAACCAACTGCTTTACTCTGCCTCCCGTACCCCCAAAAGAAAACTAACACATGACTGCGAAATCATATTCCAACCGTGAAGTGGGGGGGTCCACTCAGGCCGTGCAGAAGGGACAAATGCACCCACTGGGTTTTCATCTCCTCCTCCAGGAACTCTCCCAGATGCTGAACTCCAGCTCCCAAATGGGTTCAGCACCTGGACAGCTCCCTTGAGAGTCCTCACCTGTGCTTGCTTGCAGGCAAAGGGGTGTGAAGGGGCCTTGAGCCTCCCATCCTGGCCGTGACACTGGCAGCCCCCTTGACCAGCAGCCACCAGCCCAGCCCTTGAGCTGCAATATTCATCATCCGCATTTCAATATTCTGCTGGTCTCTTCTCCAGATTCCCTTTTAGGGACCGTCTACAACAGGTTTCCTTCTCTGCTCCCTTTTGGGGCCCTGGGAGGCCTCAGACGGAAGGAGCATCATTGAGTTTGGGATTTCCAGCAGCTGGGAAAGCGAGTCATGCCACCCCTGGTTCTAGAGAAGAGAGCCTTGAGCCGCCCAGAGTAGACATTGTCTAGATGGGCAGGATACAAGCACAATCGATAGATAGATAGATAGATAGATAGATAGATAGATAGATAGATAGATAGATAGATAGATAAATAA